AAGATTCGTTCGCTTTTGTACGGAGTCAACTTATTTGTGGGATTAACTTTTTCCAGGTATAATTTGCGTGGAAGGTATCGCTGGAGGCGCAGTTCACATCGATTACAACTGTGTACCAAGTGTGATTTACACTCACCCTGAAGTGGCCTGGGTCGGAAAAACTGAAGAAATGCTGAAAGAGGAGGTAAACTATTCTGACAGACAAATTTCTACCGCTTGAAGGACGAAGACTCAAGGAGGTGCTTCCATATTCTTCTCGTCTCTCGTGTTTATGTAATTCAAGGACTTGCATTTCAGGTTTCGCACACTCCCAGACATGTTTATTGTGACACCGACTCCCTCCCATGCCCCTCCCATTATTGGTCCGCAAGATGGCATAGAAACATCGGCGATTAACAATTAACAAATAGTAAACACCAAGCGTACACTATTGAGTTATGGATGCACGCGGGAGGTTGCTAAGCACGAAAGAAGCGTAAGAGTCGCTCGAGGCGATAGCCGAGAGCGACTCTAGCTTCTTAAGTGCTTAGCAAACCTCCCAAGTGCATCATCCATAACTCAATAGTGTACGCTGTGGTGTTTACCATTTGTTTTATAACATAACATTGATACAATGTAGCAAAAGAGTTCCTTTTTATTTAACAAATCTTACGCGACCAGAAAAAACAAGCGCGCGCGGAAAAATAGTCTTTGCATGTGCTCACGTCAGCAGCGTACACCCATAGGCAAATGGGGGACGCTAAATTGACCAATCAGAGCGCTTGCTTTACTTTGGTTGTGTTATAACATAAGATGGGGAGAGGAGTGAAAGAACATTATAGAAGTTTTTCTAATTCTGGTTGGGAGTGCAGGGTCAAGTTCTGCGCTACAGCAATAAACCGAAGCACTGAAGTGTCTTGCCCGTTCCTCGAAGAGTTTTCTGACAAAGCACTCTGTCGCAATTTTGTATTGATATAAAACATGATTGGTCTCCTGGTGTAAATTTTGAAACCTTTCTCTTCTCTGACTTTTTAGGGTGTGGCCTATAAGGTTGGCAAGTTTCCCCTCTCAGCCAACAGTCGAGCGCGTACAAACGCCGAGATTGACGGACTAGTGAAGATATTGAGCGATAAGGAGACTGACAGACTACTGGGATGTCATATGGTCGCACCAGTTGCTGGTGAAATGATCAATGAGGCCGCTCTCGCAATGGAGTATGGGGCGTCTAGCGAGGATATCGCGCGAGTGTGTCACGCACATCCGGTAGGGGTGGAATCTAATAGAACAGGGGGGAGGGGCTCATTAGGGGGATTGTCAAGCCGAGTTCCGTCTTAAAAGCAAGATGGTCCCAAATCAGATTTAGCGGAAATGGACTGTTATAATTTTTGTTCTTTAGCTTACCCAGATTAGTACTGATCAGGTTTTCAACACCCTGGTCATGGCGTTTTTATGTTGTTTGATTTTGTAGTTGCTTCGTGTCCTTTCCACTTATAAAATCGACACGAAAGAATCCCATTCGATCCGGAAAAAAATGGGTGAAATTCACTTTGTAGATTTGTCAACTCTTGATCCAGTTTAATGTAATTGATCTAACTGAGGAATCTACGTCAAGTGGATTACTAGTTATCTAAAGAATAGCCTTGCAGTTTTGTTTCTTAGGAAACTCGCTGAAGTCTTTACCTTGCTAAAATACCATCGAGTTCACATTTATTTCAATTTTCTTTGCAGACTGTCTCGGAAGCCTTCAGAGAAGCCAACATCGCGGCTTACGCTGGAAAAGCCATCAACTTTTAAGCTTCTACCATAGCAAGAAAAACGATCTATTATGAAATAATTTCTTCTCTCACAAGGTATATACGTTTTCAAAAAAGGAACGCCCCTCTGCGGTGCAGAGAAGAAGTTGTACAGTTTTAATATTCAAAGCTCTCTTCTTAACCTGAAGAGCACGCCTGAATCTCCAAATAAAATTATGCATTTGTAACAAAGTACGGGACAGGATTTGAGATTTTATTCGAGAGATAAAGTGAAGAGAGTTATGTTTAACAAATGGTAAGCACCACAGCGTACACTATTGAGTTATGATGGACGCGGGAGGTTGCTGAGCACGAAAGAAGCGGTAAGAGTCGCTCGAGGCGATAGCTGAGAGCGACTCGAGCTTCTTAAGTGCTTAGCAAACCTCCCAAGTGCATCCATAACTCATTAGTGTACGCTGTGGTGTTTACCATTTGTTTTATAACATAATATTGATACATTGTAGCTAAAGAGTTCCCTTTTATTTAACAAATCTTACGCGACCAGAAAAAACAAGCGCGCGCGGAAAAAGTCTTTGCATTTGCTCACGTCAGCAGCGTACACCCAAGGGCAAATGGGGGACACTAATTTGACCAATTAGAGCGCGCGCTTTACTTTGGTTATGTTATAAAATTTATTTGTTTTGAGTTCAAATAAAAGTTACAAATGGCTTCTAGTATCTGTCATGTCTGTCATGTCTGTCATCATGAAATGAAGCAGGTAGGGGAGGGGTTTATTCGTTGTTTATTCTTTTAAGAATAAACAAAAACACGTCGATAAACACCAGCTCCGATAATATCTTCGTAAAAGCACACATCTCCCTTATGATTATGCGAAAATTATCTTTGGTGATAAAGCCTACGGATAAACCGCGAAAATTTTTAATAGATTAGAAATGACATGACTTACACAATACTGTTGAGTTTTAATCTAACGATATTTAAAAGAAGACGGTATAAATCATTTAAAGTTCAATTATGCAATGATTAATAATATTTCAACACGTTTCAAGACATTTTAGGTGGTAAAATAAACTCTCATATTTGCAGCGTCATTAAAACAAACCAAAAAACAAAAACCTTCGCTTTCGGTAACTAGTTAGTGTCAAGCTTAAGCCAACATCTATGTACAGCGTTTAGTTATAAA